CTCCAGTTTCTATTGCTGCAGAGTTTTTGTTTTCCCACTTCCTCTTTTTTGCCACTTTCAGGTTTCCACTGCTGTGAATTACAGGGAAATAAGATGAAAAATTTAGCATATGATCACACTACACTGTTTCTAATCAATGCATTTGTATGCATCATGTCCACTTATGTTTCCAAATAGCCAGTTTAATTTTAGGAACATGTATTTATTTAGATTACCAGTAACTAAATTTATTTTAAATTCAGCTACAGTGTGGATTCAAATTTATTTTTGAGAGGCATTTTACAGAAGAGAAGCACAAAGGTTTAAAAATTTGTAGAAGAACTCTCAAGTCTAGTAGTGTCCTCCACCGGATTGCCAAGTGGCCTAGCAGTAGAAAGCAACAATGAAATAAAAGGGGAAGGAATTCTATCTGTAGGTGCAATTGCATTTAACATCTGTTACTCTTTACAACAGTAGGAGCTACTGAAAATTTCTCCTTGGAGCAGGGTGGCAGAAAGAAAGCTTGCAAAAGCCGGGCATAGGGATACTAGTACTTGAATGGAGAGAGGCAACCCTGAAAAACCAGAGGCTAATTAAGGAAAAAATGCAAATCAAGAAACAGTTTATGCAGTCAGAAGAGCTCTGTGTGACAATAGTCACCTAATCTGGAAACCTCATGGAATGGCTCAATGGGAAAGATGAAGCAAATCCATGATATGAGCAGCTCAACTTGCCAAGTACCTAAAAGCTCTCAATATCACAAAAGTCAAACTATTCTTTCCTTCCTTCCAGCAGTGATCATCCAATGGGAAGGAGTCTTTGTGGAAATCAGCTCTCCCTCAAGGAGGAGGTTAACATCCCTGTTAATTATGATGGGCTCTCTTAAGTCCAACTCAGATCTTTCTGCAGGATGAGAGACCATGCAGTGGCTATGTTGACATGATGCTGAATGGTTCATGTCTTGGGGAAACAAAAAAAAAAAACAAAAAAAACACAAAACACTAGCATAGCAAACCGTTGTGACTGCTCAGCACTCCCAGAGGAACTTCATAGGCACCAATGTCCTGAGAACTTGGCAGACAGGCAGGCAATCTGCTGTTTATACTGCATGGCACATGTATGAAACACTTCTACATTGGTGACGAAGCTCGCAAGCAAAGTCCCCCCACTGGTAAGCAAACAACTAGCAGCTGTCAGACACATCAAAACCTTTAAGTATCTGTGGCACCTTCCTGGGAGAGTGTACTAATGCACCTTAGAAACCCTAAATATTTTGCATAAGAAAATATGATCATCCATAACCAGCATTCCTAAAGCTAATTTATGATAACTGAAAATTACCAACCGTGCCAACACCACTTAGCTTTCTTCACATAAACCAGTATTCTGAAATGGTAATCTTAATTTTGCATTTGCAGTTCATTTCCTCTCAGTTGGTTAAACTGTTCATATCACTTGTTTCACACATTTCATGGATGATTCAAGACGCTCCTCTAATCTGGTACACATTATCAAATGGCTCTAAAGATTCCTTCACTCTGCTCTCAGGCTCCTTTTGCCCCTCCAAACATCCCTGGCGTGTCTTTGTCTCACTCTTCCAAAATGTTCAGGGTCCAGCCTGCTAATAGCCTCACCTGGCCAGATCCTAACAGCCGCTCCTGGCTCACCTCACACGTGCTCTCCCTGTTGCTCATGAGACTCAGTGAGTCACTGCTGGGAAACACAGGCTCTTCTTCCAGCACAGGCTGCTCCTGAAAACAAGAATCTGCAAACTGAAAATAATACCACCTCTCTTTCACAGGATGGAGTTTTATTTTCTGGCCAGCCCCACTGCTTTTTTTCTCAGCTATCTTACGGTTTCAACTGTGTCACTCCTTCTCCCTCACCCCTGACAACTATAAATGCAATTAAACCTCATTTTCAACTAGATGCAAGCAAATTTCATTTTTATGGTATTGACATATAACTTTTATAGTTGGGACAAAACAAACATACAAACAAACAAAACCCCCATCTCCTCCATTCTACAAAATCCATAGATTCTTATGCGACTGCATAGGTTAGAAATATTACTTATATTCTTAATGTTTTGGTAGAAATAATTGCCTCTCCGCTGACAACTTGTCAAGTTTCAGGATGATGCAATGTGAGAAGACAGAGATGTAATCTTCCGGATTTATAACAGAAATACTCCTCTCAGACCCTTAACTAGTGCAGTGGGTACTGAGTGCCACTGCAATATACCATGATAGCAAAAGTTGTATTACCTGAAGTAAAAGACTCCCCACCCACCAAAAATAACTATAAAAATGATCTGTAACAGGAAAAAAAAAAAAAAAAAAAAAAAAAGGATGCAAACTAAGTTCTTCTCAGAGTAATCTTACCTATTTAATCATGAGTCTTTGACTTGCTGGATCAATTTTGTCTTGGTTATGTCTGCCTTTTTTTTCTTTTATCTGTCTCCATCCCTGGCCTTTATCAGGGCTTCTCTGCAAGCCTACATCCTTATGATATCAAATTCATAAGCAGGTTGCTAAAAAAAAATAAAGGACTTTGGCTTTTAATTTTATATGTGTTACATAAATACAAATTCATATGTGTGTATATACAAACACACACACACGATACTCCCTAAAGTATGCTTCTAACTGTGTGCTGAGACAAGTTCCTGCATGCCTTTGTAAGGAACTGAGAGAGCATAAAACTGAATATAGACAACTGATGCTTCCTACACAAAATAGTTTGTTCACCTCAAAGGGATGCTGCTTGTTTTCAAGGAACAAAGGGAGGGTAAGAAAATGTCCAGATAAAAGCAAACGGAAAGAGGCCTTCAGATGATAATTATAGGCCTGACATACAATTCTTGGGCACTCTGCAGGCCCCAGCAGCTCTCCAGCGGGCCAAGATGGGCACGCAGCCTGACCAGACACTGTCAGCAAGTGGCACAACAAGCCACTGCTGAGGGCATCCAGCTGATCAATGAGTGCTATTGAGCCTCCAGTGCTGCACGCAACACAAAACATTCTGCACAAGAAAACCGCTGCTAGTGTCAATGACACTGAGACGGGCACTGTCTTCCCGGGCACCACACAGATGGTTCTCTGCAACAGCAAAGGAAGTTTAATGTCGTGCTTTGCATCTCAGAAGGCAGATTTCACACAGTTCACAAAGCCCTTTACCAGCATTAGAAGTGATTCATATTCCATGGCTAGCTAGATCAAAAATGCCACAGAAGGTTAATCCTTGTTTCCAGGAGAAGGCCAAGAGATGTGCACAAAGGGATTAGGCAGTAATCACAGCAGATTTCCAAAATAATATAATGTAACAGACTCAGGTATTGAGGCATGCTAGGGACAAACCCAGGACCAGTTTAAAAAATAAGTGGAATATGGGGAGATTCGCAGATAATGCAGTACTCAGCAACCAGGGAAAATGCTGCAAACTCTTACCTCCCAGCTCAGCCTCAGAAGGGACCGAATCAGACCTGCTCATTTTTAATGCTAGGAATTTTATAAGGACAACGTGGTTTTACTTTGGTTACTGATGCATGGATTACATGGCTGATCAAGAAAGCGAAAGCATTTTTCCAAAGCCAACATCCTTAAAAAACTGAGCACAAAGGTCCCAGGGACAGCACAGAAGAATTAATATGATTGACTCATAAACAAGAATTTGAACATCTTCTCCTTCCTACCCACAATATAGCAGTAAGACAGAGCTGGCAGTGTACCAGGAAAATGTAATTAAATGTATAACATTTTTTTCTCAGAAATACCCCTTCATTAAATATTAAAACCAACACTCTTTCTAAAACAATGTTAATTTTAGTATATCTCACAGTTGAAATAGCTACTTGTTAAAAATAACAAAATGCATCAGACAAATTTGTTCATGATTATTAAATAAACACAAAGACAACACCTTTCATTTGGGAAATGCCTGACCCCTTATTGCCAGATGATAGGGGAATACCGGGGGGCAAATATGCACCTCTTCCCCACCACTGCTCCCAGGTGCCTGCTTCTGATCTCTGCTGCAGAGAGCAAGCTTTGATCTGAGCAAACAAGTTGGTTGGAGGATGCCTCTAGAGGTCCTGTAGTCTAACCTCTAACTTGAAGGAGGATGGAAAAAAAAAAAAAAAAAAAAAAAACAGAGACACGGAAAGACATTCCTAAACAAGCTCCCAAAACTTCCAGGGATGAAGAATGATCCCACAACCTCCCCAACGGCACTACCCTCCTTGTGAGGAAGCTTTTCCTAATATCCAACCTGAACCTCCCAAGTTGTCCCACTGTCCCATGTTTTACTAGCTATGACTAGCAAGATTAATTTTGCTCCATCTCCCTAGCTCTCTTTGCCCTTAGTTTAAGACAAACTCCTTTTGCCAGAGAGGCAAGAGTAATGAGTGTATTCTGTGTTAGGCTGTAGCCTAACATATATGGCAGCAACAAAGGTGGAACTATGGTCCTCTTACCTTCCCAATAAAACTGCAGCTGTTAAGGGTTATATTGAAAAGTAAAATAAATCTTCGATAACTATATAGCTGTACTAGAATGTAAAAAACTGTTTCTGGATGTCTGGTTCTTTCAAATAACACGCTTAGTTTTAGGTTTACGTGCAAGTAAGCTAAGAACAGGGCTGCTCTTGTGTTTATAGTCCCAGTGGCTTGCTGGACCAGATCCCAGATGCCCCCCCTTTATTATCTCCATATCTTAAAATTATGATTATCAATTCAGACTACTCAGTTTCTCCATGCTATTGTATTTCCTTCTATGCTGAATAAATTTTTTCCTATTAATTTTAGCAGATGTTTTAATTTATTCTTTATATTATATTTTATTAATGCCTATCACACTGCCATCTAGGCAGATGGCCAACTTCAAAACCAAACTTTTATAGAGGAATTAAAAGAGCAGTCAAGCAAATGGGCTCTTCACAGCTGGGAAGCTGTTACTGTACAGTATATTTATAGTATATAAAAGATACTTGTGAAGAGAACAGATGGTAACTTAAGAATTTACCTGAAACTGAATTTTGTCCTGAATTTCAGTAGGTCCTTGTGAGTTTGACATTTTAGTAGTTTTATTCTTTCATTCTCTTCATTTTCTCTTCTAACATTGCACATTCAGGTTTTCTGAAAAGACATGCATTTATATACTCTTCAAAATCTTTTAAAAGGTTAAGCAATAGAAGTCTAAACTGTTAATGAACCCAGCAGGTCAGCAGATTTCTTCTAGTCAAAGTTATGAGCAGCTGCAGTCTCTCCCACAGATGTGATACAACACTTTATAAACACATGGATTCCTAAATATACAAGTGTGACAAACATATCAGCTCATCACCTATGTGTTTCATAAGCTATTTGAAAGTAAACTCTTAATTTAAGAAACGTACAAGTTATACTAGCAGAGATATTTTGGAAACTGAGAGCAGCTTTTTGAGCAGTTCCTTTATCATCAGTACCCAAGGCCCAGTTTATTCTTTGTATCTGAAGTGACTAGTGGGATTCTGCAGAAACTCAAAGCCATTTGGGATTTGTATCATGACTTTTACACATACATAGTAAGTACAAGGTCTTTACACTAAACGATGTACTTTACACTTGCAATATCCAAATTTAACAGCTAAACTCAAAGGAGAGATTTTCCCACATCCAGATGAGCATGAGTCCTTCATCTCCCATTGATTTACAAGCAAATGGATGTTGGTACTTAATCCTGTCTACTTCACAGGAATTAAATTTATTTAAAGTCTGGTGACCACTCACTCTGCGCTGTAATGTCTCTTCACTTGGCACAGCATCACTTGCAGATTGCCAGATTACCTATAAGAGTATTTTAAGGGCCATATTGTGGATATTTGATGTTGGCATAAAGATTCATTGTATGTGATGTCTAGTAAAGTGTGTTACATTCTAGAATATAAAACCCACAAAAATTAGTGCAAAGGTCAAAATCAACAAAGAAGGCTAAATGATTTTATAAAAAATATTTCAGTTAAATAGAAAATTTCTAGTCTACCATCTTTGGTTGATTCAGTAGTTAAACTTCATGGCTCAATATCCTAAATGAGTCTACCTCAGGCTTTTACAGAAGCATAAATACAGATCAGTGTATTGGAGATCACATAATGTTTGTTTGTTCTGTTTTGTGTACAGTCACAATCCTTTGTATTAATGAACTAAAATATTCATTATAAATGTGCTCCAGAGGGACGCGTGGGCCTTTGCTCTGGAGCCACAAAGTCTGATTAAATGTAAGAAGAACGTACATTGTATTTATCCCCTGATTCACAGTTGGCTACAAATACAGTAAGTTTCTCCTAACAGGCTACCTCTTAACTCTTATAATTCAGTCCCTTTTTGTTTGATGATCTACAAATCTGTTCAACTCATTGTACACCTCAGTCAGCTAATTTGCACAAGAAACCTACCTTCTACATACAGATAATTTCTCCAATAAAAGCTTTCATTGGACTTTTTTTTTTTTTTGGCATAAAACCTAATAATATGTTAGGATTTAAGGAAAAAGCTATTCGTAGTATTGTTGTTACGTAACTGAATTTTCCTTTTTTAGTGACAAGTCATGTTTTTCCTGTAGTGGGGAGCCAGAGATAGGTTGTGTGCCAGACACAGCAAGTCTTCCATGAGACTGACCTCCTCTCACAAGCTTGACAAGGAGCATATGCAGCTCTGTGTCCATATTCTCCCCAAACACCATATCTTCCTTCCAGCTCTTCCTTAAATGCGTATACTAACAGGTTTAACTATAAAATATATCAGGGAGCTACTCTAGGTTTTGTTCCCTGCAAGTTTTCTTGAATCTCAGATATATCAGACAGCCTAGATATAGGTCGTCTGTGCTGCTTTTTCTTCTTTTATTTATTTATTTTTTTACTATTATTATTACAGATCATTCTAGAAATGCCTTATTTTTGCTGTCTAATTATTTCAACACTGCTGCTGAGGTAGCTACTACACGTTATTAGGCTTTTTTCTTTTTAACATACATCAACTGACGTACAGTCTTTAATTATGAAACATCTTATATATGTGAGCGTGAGAGAGAATGCAAAACAACCAGAAATACATAACCCATTTTCAGTCCCTTCCCCAAAAAATAAGTTTTATTTTAAAGCACAACTGGGATCAGAATAGAGCTGAGACGTGGACCTGATTTTTCCTTGAACTTTAGTGTTATTTAAATGCTAAATTAATTTCAGATTTTTCCTTCATCTCAAAGATTAGCTTTCTAAGTCTTGATGTTTTCAGAATTAATCAATCCTATTTTACTAAACAGGAAATTGCTATCTAGAAAAACTAGGAAAGCATCTCAACCCTTCTCCCCTGCCTTGGCTCACTTAATGAGGTGTTTTTAGTTTGTGTTTTTGTTTGTTTTAAAGCATGAATGAAAACAGTGTCTTCCTAGCATTGATGATTTTTCTGCTTTTTAACAACACCAAAAGCAAAGCCAACACCTGGTGTCTCCACCTTTTTCCACTGAAATCACTGTGGGCCACATTCAGCAAAGGGCTTAAGGACTTAAAAGGCAGGTGCTTCAGGGCAGCTCTCGTCAGCACCAACCGTGCGCAGCAGGTCTCGCTGGGGGCCGCGCAGGGCGGTAGCTGAGCAGTGTTCACAGCAGCCAGGATGCTGAGCGGGAAGCCTCCAAAAGCCTTCAGTGCTTACCTCCAGCCCAGAGCTGCAAGCTCTGCCCACAACAGCGGTGCACACAGACACACTGCCACACCCCCCAGCCAAACTGCGAGAGCTCAGCAAAGCTCTCAAATTGGAAAGCAACCAGGGCCTACCTTCCAACCTGCAGCCCTGAAAACCTTCACGCCTTCAAACTGGCCCAGCAGAGGCTGCTCAGATCTTTGCTGGCACTGGTCCCAAGGGTGAGGTGTGATCGCCTGTACTCACCCGGACAAATTCCTTCACCAGGGGAGTTCCCTAATATCTAGACTATCTGCAGCAGAAAGTGTTGCTCTAACTGAGCAATGGTCATAGAATCTATTGCAGGGGGGAAAAAGGAAAAAAAAAGGAAGAAAAAAAAAAAAAAGAAAAAAAAAAAAAGAAAAAAGAGCAATTGCAAACACTGGAAAACTTAATGGGGGCATTTTTCTTAGCATCAAAATATTCTGGAGGCTTCCAAATAAACTCATAATTCAGAAGCCTTTGAGAGACAGCAATGCATCAATAATAGATTTTGAGTAGGTTATATCCTTGAAAGACGGTAGATGCTATAGAGGGCAAAATGAAGTTGTTGGTGGCCTAATACATTGCAAGCGGTTTGTCACCTACAGCACTGCTTTCTTTAAAGATATCTAACACATACACGCACACACACACAGGCAAAGATCTCTCAAGTGAATTTATTGACTAAAACCAGTTCCACAGAACCAATTAGTATCTTACACAGGCTGCCCTGCAAGGCTTATGAGGCCATCCATCACTTGTCCATTTAACTATTTAGCATTTGTTCCAGCAATTTGTCACACTGTCAGAATGGTAGCATTTCAGAATAGGACTTTTTGGTTGAAAGAAATCCAACTCAGATAGTGCAGATATTTCTTTTTTAATAAGACTTACACAAGATTTATGTTTCTATTATTTTTAACCTTAAGCATCATGTCTGGAGGGTGAGGTTAATTCTTTGTATTTCAAAGGTTCCACATTTAAATCAATTGTTTTATATGAGAATTTAAAAATATCATGTGAAATGGAATTACTTTAAACTTCATCAGCAATTCACAGTTCTGACATCATAGAGCACCGTATCTCACAGTTGCAGATATTATTTTTTTATCATTTTTTCCCATCTAGTCATTTGCTTTTACATTCATTTCCAGTGACTTTCTTAATTTCACAGCTCCAAATGAATCAGAAAAAATTACCTTTCCATTAAAAGGCAAAGTATCTACATAATATTAGCATGCTTACTCCTAGGGTATTCTAGATTTTGCAGACACTATACATCTAAAGGGAAAGAAAAAGGATTACTGCAGAGCTTCAATTACCCACCCACAGATATTTATAAATATAAATTAGCATAAATGCAGACAAAATAATACACAAAGAAGTAGTTCAAGCTTGGCTGTCTCTTACAGAGTAGTTGAGTAACAGTGTAACCTGGGAACTGCGAGCTGTTTCCAAAGAGTGGTACTCCGCTTAAAACACAGCCAGAGAATTTTGATTGAACAACATGTAGGAATTAGGCTAACACAATTTCTACCTTCAGTGGAAACAGCTACACCACGTATGTCAGGCAGCCCGTTAACGCGTTGTCAGAGGCCTCTTGCAATGTAATGCCCACAGCTGTATGTCCATGCACCTGCTATGCTGCCACTTCACAGGCTCCACTGAAACGAAGGGAAGTTATTCAATAACCTTTAGATTTGTTTATTGTTTCAGAAGCAGGACTTGATTTTTAATGGCAAGAGCATGCAGATCAGAGGTCTGCTTTCCTGATACCCTGTAGGGTTTCCTGATTTAGATTTTGTATAAAGTGGATGCAGCAAAGATGCCTGGGAATCAAATGCCATCTCTGCATCTGAATGCTGTTAAGCAGCTCCCATGGCATTTCTCCCCAGCTCTCCATGTGCGTCTGTCACTAAGCTCACTCCCAGAGATAAAACAGCAAATGTGAACTCCTGTGGGAAAGAGTATTGAGTAAAAACCTTTCTTGAAGCCCCAGGAACGCTACAGCTCAGTCAATCATGAGCCCTTCAATCAGCGCGTCCATCACACCTTGTACACAGAAGGGTTTGCAGTGTACGAGTGTTAGGTAGGGAAAACGAAATGTTTGGTACACACAGAACAAAGTGACTATCTCTGTTTAAAAGGCTTAGCAAATTTCACTGTATAACACTCAGACTGTTACTGCTCAAAAAACAGACAACCCATAAACAAGCAAACAAAAACAGTGCTCCTTCTGCTTTGCTGGGAAATCGTAATGTTAAATACCTGATAATTGTGAAGTAAATATTTTTTCTACCCATTTGTGTCTTCAATTAATAGATCCAGTCATTTATATTGGTGCCTGTTAAATATTACTGTTGTATTTGTCTGTAGAGGATGCACCTACTCAGGCCTAGGTAACTAGGCAAGAATTATTGTTTCCAGTTGCAGTGAGA